TAGTAGAGACGGGGTTTCACCGTGTTGACCAGGATGGTCTCGATCTCTTGACCTTGTGATCCACCCGCCTCGGCCTCCCACAGTGCTGGGATTACAGGCTTGAGCCACCGCGCCCGGCTGTTTAATATATTTCTTATGAAGAGACCAGTTACTGGTTTGGGGGAGGAAGGTCACAGAGGCAAAGTGCCATCCTTATCACATTTTATCAAGGGTGTTTGCCGGTTTCTGGGACCCGAGGTGCAGGGGAGGTTTAGCTCGCTCCCCAGCGGGCTCTAGGCTTTTGGTCTCTCACTCACCCAAGAATGGGAGAGGGGACCACGCGGGGCGCCGTGCACTGGCAAGTAAATATCGGACCCCAAAGAGTTTTTGCAGAAAGTGATTTATTTATTTAGGCAGAGCAATAGAAAAAAAGAGAACAAGATGAGAAAGAGAAAGCTTCCACGAAGATTGTGGAAGGGGACTCTAATACGGAATCCGCCGGACCGGATGTGGGGGACAGGGACTTTTAACCTGGGAGGAATTCCCTCCCCCTCCAAGCTCTTTGACCTATGAAAGGAGTTCCTTTAAACTTCTGCTGGAGTGATTGATCTTTGATTCTTCCCTCAGGATGGAAAATTTAAACAAAGATCTCTAATCCCCCGGATGGGTTGAGGTGGGGGGCATGTTGCTGGGAAGATTCTTGCCCTTGAAACTAAGCCCCCTTGTGGACCCCGGAAGACAATATATTCCCTCAAAGGGTACATGCCACCTTTCTTTACAGTCTCATATACAGTTGACCCTCAGGATTGGCTCCAGGGTACCCCGCAGACACCAAAGTCCACAGATGCTCAAATCCCTTACATAAAATGATATAGTATAGTTGGACCTCCATATCTGAGTTTCAATCAATCCATGGTTGGTTGAATTCTCAAATGTGAAACCCTTGAATACAACGTGCCAACTGTATTCTGTAGCTATTCCTGCACTGTTTATTCTGTACCATTAAAAATCTTTGTCTAGCTTTGTACCATGCTGTTGTATATAATGTAGCTTTAAAATTAGTCTTGATACCCTTTAGGGCAAGTTCTACCGCTTTGTTCTTCTCCAAGGGTGTTTTAGAGAGTCTTGACCCTTTGCATTCTCATATATATTTTGAAATCAGCTTGTCAGATTCCACAAAATGCTTTTTGGAATTTTGATTGAGATAATGTTGAATCTATAGATAAATTTGGGGCCAGGAATGGTGGCTTATGCCTCTCATTCCAGCACTTCAGAAGGCTGAGGAAGGATAATTGCTTGAGGTGAGGAGTTCCAGACCATCCTGGACAACACTGTGAAAACTCTCGCTGAGCCCAGTGGCTCACACCTGTAATCCCAGCGCTTTGGGGGACTGAGGCAGGCAGATCACAAGGTCAAGAGATTGAGACCGTTCTGGCCAACATGGTGAAACCCTGCCTCTACTAAAAATAAACAAAATTAGCTGGGCATGGTGGTGCCTGCCTGTAGTCCTAGCTACTTCAGAGGCTGAGGCAGGAGAATTGCTTTAACCTGGGAGATGGAGGTTGCAGTGAGCTGAGATCATTCCATTGCACTCCAGCCTGGTAATAGAGCAAGACTCTGTCTCAAAAAAATAAATAAAGAAAGAAAAACTGTCTATAAAAGCTTTTACAGAGAGTTGTGAATCTCCATCTCTATAATAAATTTTTTTAAAAATTAGCTAGGCTGGTGGCATGCACTTGTAGTTTTAGTTATGCAAGAGAATCACTTAAGTTCAGGAGTTCGAGATTACAGTGAGCTATGAACTTGTCACTGCACTTTAGCCTGAGAAACAGAACAAGACCTTGTCTCTAAAAAAAAAAGAAAGAAAGAAAAAATGGGGGAGAGTTGATATGTTAACAATATTGAGTTCCCCAATCTACTTATTTAGATCTCCTCTAATACTTCCCAGCTTCTCTCATTAGCATTTTTGCTGCAGAGGTTTTATATATCTTTTGTTAACTTATTCACAGGTAATTGATCTATTTTAAAACATTTATTTAATATTATTGTAATTATTATTGAGACAGAGTCCTGCTCTGTCATCCAGGCTGGAGTGCAGTGGTGCAATCTAGGCTCATTGCATCTCTGCCTCCTGGGTTCAAGCAGTTCTGTCTCAGCCTCATGAGTAGCTGGGATTACAGGTGGCCACCACCATGCCTGGCTAAGTTTTGTATTTTTCGTAGAGATGGGGTTTCACCATGTTGTCCAGGCTGCTCTTAAACTCCTGACCTCAGGTGATCCACTCACCTCGGCCTCCCAAAGTGATGGGATTACAAGTATGAGCCACGGCACCCGGTCAAAACTTTTTGTTATGAAAATTTTAAACCAGTACCAAAGGAGACCAGGCCGGGAGTAATGGCTCATGCCTGTAATACCAGCATTTTGGGAGACTGAGGTGGGTGGATCACTTGAGCCCAGGAGTTCCAGCCTGGGCCATGTAGCCAAACCTTCTCTCTATGAAAAATACAAAATAAATTAGCTGGGCATGGTGATATGCACCTGTTGTTTCAGCTCTTTAAGGGGCTGAGGTGGGAGAATCACTTGAGCCTAGGAGGTCGAGGCTGCAACGAGCCGAGATCAGGTCACGGTACTCCAGCCTGGGTGACAAAGTGAGACATTGTCTTAAAAAATAATAAATGACTGGGAGCAGTGGCTCACACTTATAATCCCAGCACTTTGGGAGGCTGGGGCCGGCAGAGGTCAGGAGTTCAAGAACAGCCTGGCCAACATGGTGAAACCTCGATCTCTACAAAAAGTACAGAATTAGCTGGGCATGGTGGCTCATGCCTGCAGTCCCAGCTACTGGGAAAGCTGAGGCAGGAGAATTGCTTGAACCTGGGAGGCGGAGGTTGCAGTGAGCCAAGATGGCATCACTGCACTTTAGCCTGGGCAACAGAGACTCCATCCCAAAAATAAATAAATAAAATAAATGTGTAAGCAAATAATTTTCTTATATTGCCTGGGCACAGTGGCTCATGTCTGTAATTCCAACACTTTGGGAGGCTGGAGGATTGCTGGAGTCCAGGAGTTCAAGATCAGCCTGGGGAACATAGAGAGCCCATATTTACAAAAAATTTAAAAGCTAGCCAGCCATGGTGGTGTGTGCTTCTGGTCCCAGCTATGGGACAGGGTGACATGGGAAGATTGCTCGAGGCCAGGAAGTTGAGGTTTCAGTGAGCTGTGTTCACACACTCCAGCCTGGGTAATAGAGGGACACCTCGTCTCAAAAAAAGAAAAAAAGCAATAATTCCCTAATATCAAACATCTATCTATTCAGTATTAAAAGTTCCACTTATCTTGTGTCACACTTTTTTGGTTTAGTTTGCCTGTTTGGATCAGGATTCAAATAAGGTTCATACATTGTGACTGACTGATATATCTGTTAAATCTCTTTTAGCTCATAACTTCCTCTTTCATTACTTTTTTATTTCTTTTCAATTTACTCATTGAAGGAACAGGTTATTTTTTCCTGTAGAGTTTCCCAAAGAGAGGATTTTTCAGAGTACATTCTAGTAGTGTCATTTAGCATATTCTACTTTCATCTTTTTGCTTGTTTGTTTTTTTAGAGACGAAGTTTCGCTCTTGTTGCAATTGCCTGATCTTGGCTCACTGCAACCTCCGCCTCCTATGTTCAAGTGATTCTCCTGCCTTAGCCTCCAGAGTAGCTGGGATTA